TACCCCCTCTAAGGAGTCCTGCTGACGTGGGGAACACGCCCTCAGTTAGATGGAATGGCATGGTGGCTGCACCCGTGGGCTCGGGCACAGGAACACTTGTGAGCACGGCGCCGGGCTGGGGCAGTGCTTCGTCCTGTTGCACACAGGGTCGCTATGGGTGGGAGCCGCCTCGATGGCCCCTAACAGCAAAGAGACCCCCGACCACGGTTAGCAGAGTTTAACTCCTGGTGTCTTCAGACGGGATTTGCTGGAGAGTCATGTAATGTAATGAGGGCGGTGGAGTGTGACTCGTCTGTACCTTGAAAGGAAGGGGATCAACAGGTCCCCGAGGGGTTGCTGACCTACAGAGGAAGTGCCCGGCCGAATCGGCCTCAGCCCCGCAGAAATCGGCCTGGGGAAACCCGCCGCCAAGCCTCGGGGGCTGAGCGCTGAGTGGGAGCGCCCCGGACGGCGCCCCGGCAGCTCCTCACCTGCATGTTCCTCAGCAGCTGGAAGATCTCCATGGTGCGGTACACGATGTCCTGCACCGTCTCCTGGCCGATGCGGCACAGCGACGCCGTGTTGACCTCCCGGGCGCCCTGCTGAGCCTGGGGTCCGCCGAAGGGCCCGGGCGCCATCCCAGACGCCATCCCGGGCGTCGCCAACGGAGGCGTGGACATGGCGCGGCCTCGGGGGGTGGAGAGCACGCCTCAGACCGGCTCCCGGGGCGTCTTCCGTCCTGGGCTCCGCCGGCCCAGACCGAGTGATGCAGGGCTTCTGCAGGGACGCCAGGGAGCCACCCTCCGACGGCGGCACGATTTCAAAACAGCGGCAACGACTTCCGCCAGCCGTGACGTAGCACGTCACCGTGTCGTCACATGCGCCGCCCACTCGGCGTACCTCTCAGAACCCAACGCAACACAAGCGCAGACGCGATTGGTCCTAATGCCTAGGGAGGGCGGGACGGAAGCATTGTGAAACCAATCATCGGCTTTTGCCGCCAAAGAGGGCGGTAGGAGAGATGGGACGCTTCCTAGCGTCAGAGTCCACATTAGCACTCTTGATTGAATTTCTTTTTTTGTGTAAGAAGCGTTTCGTTTTCTCCCTTAGATCGCCTAACACTCACTGTAGCTTGTGAGGCTTGTCATTTTACAGATAGGAAGCAAGCTCAGAGGGGCTAAAGTAACCTGTCCATGCGCATGAAACTTTTTTTTTTTTAAGAGGAAAAACAATTTATTCTTAGACCTCTATCCAGGCGCCTGTACTACTAGTATGTACATTTGTTCAGCCGGGAGTACTCCCTGAGCCAGGGCCCCGAAGGCCAGGCGGTAGACACCTGGCAGGGTGAACTCTGGCTCCTTCCCGCCCTCCACCACCTAGAAGTCCCTGAGGAGGGCAGGGGGGTGTCATCACTGGGTCCCCCTTGTCAGACCCACTCCTAAGAGACTCCTACTCCGCCCCCTAAAAGGGCTGATGGCAGCGGAGTTCCCTCAGGTCAGGTCTGCAAACAGCCCTGAGTTTGAAACCTGAGTTTCAAACCTAGAAAATCGCCTTTCTGTGACGTAGTACCAACTCCCCAGTTTTATTTTTTTGGGTCCTTGCTAAATGTCATGTTAATCAAGCAGCTTTCTGATCACCCTGTGTAAAAAATGTAACACCACACACACAACTTGACCTGGCACCTAATAGATATATTAGGTTTGTTTTCATTTTAGACTTTCCATGGATCCAGAGTGCAAGCTTCGTGCGAGAAGAGACACAGCTATTTCATTACCTTACTGTCTTCTCAACACTGAGAAATCAGCATAAAGAAGAATGTGCTCAATAAACTCGAGTTGAATGATTGCCGTAGGTCATTACACATACAAGATAAAAAAGGCCCTCTTGCACCTACTTCTTACTCCTTACTTCCAAAGATGTGTATTTCAAATGGTGGAAACTGTTGACAGCTACAAAATGATTTCATTTTTAAAAATCTTAGAACACACCTTAGTCTGAACTTTCTAGAAAATGGTTATTAAAAATGGAGACCCATTGTAGAGATAGATCTCTATAACAAAGTTTTGGAGTTATTGTTTGCCAAATATTTGCTTGGCACCTAATATGTGCTGGGTGTTAGGAGTGAATTAGTGAAGAAGTCTTGTTTTGTGGAGACAGAAATCTATTCATTGGGATGAGTATTTTGAAGCAAAAGTTGAAATCATCACCATCAGGGAGGGAACAGAGTAGTATACCAGGGACGACCTGCAGGGAACAAACTGGGGCTGGAAGAGGGCTGAGGGGATGGGGGTGGGGATGGCAACCATTGCTGAACAGCAGGTCCTCTCTGGTGGTCAGGGCACGAGTGAGGCCCCCGCCAAAGCCAGCAGCTAAGAGGGAGCCCGAGGCTTTCCAGAACCTAAATAAAAGTTTACTGTGAAGATAATGCCAGGAAATACAGCCAAAGACAAAGGCAAACCTCAGGGAAACACTGAAGCCATGTCAAGTGTCTTGGACTTTATTCTAAATAGAAACATTGAATGTTTCAAGGAGAGAGGGATCATTATCTGAAATATTAATTTTAGAACACTTATCCTGGCTGCTGAATGGGGATGGGGCTGTGGTGTGTACTGCTTCCTCTTCCCTTCCAGAGAGATGGTCGACCTATCCTTAGGGTCAGAAGTTCAAAACTATCAGTCGCTCTGCTGGAGAAAGGTGAGGTCAATTCCTCTAAAGAGTTACAGCCTTGGAAACCCATAGGGGGTAATTCTGCCTTGTCTTGTAGGGTCGCTTTGAGTCAGCATCAGTTCAATGGCAGCAAATTTGAGGTTTTTGTTTTTGAAATAAAATCTAGGAGTCCTGGGCGAGGAGTGGTTACGCATCGGACTGCTAGTGGCTGCTCAGAAGCTTCAACTCACCTGCTGATTTGCACAGGAGAAAGATGAGGTTTTCATTTACTTTAAAGGTTACAGGCTTAGTATCAGAAAGAATGGGGTCTGGGGTCTTAAAGGTTGGTCTTAACACAAGCAGCCATTTAAGTGAGGTGCCAATTAAGCCCACATAGAAGTATGCCGGCCGGTGTGATCCATGTATTATAAACAATAAAATTCAAGTTTGAAGGAGGGAATAGATTCAGAGCTGTCCCAAGAGCAACTGAGTACATACTGGGGTGCTTTGGATTATTCTTGGAAGGGAATAGTGTGGGGTGATATAGTGCTAAGCTTAACAACTGTTAAGACATCGTGGACGAAAAGTCAAACTTGGCACCTTCTGACTGTGGACAGATCACATTAATGTCAATGGGCCTGTCAACAGGATCCATTCCCTGAGGTTTCTGACAGCATAGAGCATAAAGAATTCAATACATGTGTGATAAGTATACCCCCTCTAAGGAGTCCTGCTGACACAGTGAGTTAAATGTTAGACTCCTAACCGAAATGTTAGCAGACATCAAAGTCATCAACCTCTCCTCAGGGGAAAGATGGGACTATTTGTTCCCACAAAGATTGACATCCTCAGAAAGCCCATAAAGCAATTCTGCTTTGTCCTTAAGGGTCACTATGAGTCAGAGTCAATGTGATAACACCCTCTCCTCACGTAGTGCCATGATTAGATTCCAACGACTAGGTTATGATGCAGAAATCATGTTATGTCAAAACGTCATAAATGCCCAATGACATCAATGCCTAGCTGCCAACCCACTCAGAATCATGTCCCAGCCAAGTTACACATAACTTTAACCATCTCAGCTTATGACTGACAGCCTAGCCTCTTGGTGCTCATTGCTACCAGGCATCTGTCCTTAATATGCCATCGTTACGAGAGTCATCAATGTGAAAAGTCAGATACAAAGTAAAAAGATAATGGAACACCACCCCCCACCACCACCACACACACGGACTTTGGGGAGCCCCATGTATTTACAGGAGAAGTGAGACGTAGGTGTACTTCCTCTGAGGTAGTGTTGGTTTTGTGGTGGAATTTCACTCCTGAGACCCAGATTTGATTTTCTGTCTTTCAGCCTCAAACCCAGGACTACTCACCGGGTAGGGGCGCCATGTGTGTTGCAATGAGGCTGCAGGTGTTGCGTGGAGCTTCTAAACTAGGGCAGACTGTGGAGGAAGACTTAGCGACCTGCTTCCTCAGCCAGCCAATAGAAATCCTACGGATCACAAGGACATGATTCTGTTGTGCATACGTTCACGACAGATTGGGAGCTGATTCAAGGGCAGTCGACGGTAACAATAACAACATAATTCCTTTTACCACCTTTGACAGTGAGGTGAATGTTTAAAGGGAGAAACAAGTCCTGAAGGTGTCCCATGTTAGAGCCCCAAAGAGTAATAGGGCAGAGAAAGAGGCGGAGAAGGAGCAATAACAACAGCAAAAGGTGGGAAGACTGGACGGCGAGGTCGGAGGAGAACCAGGATGCCGTCATGCTACAGACATCGCGGGCCAGATGTCTTGTTTCAAGAAGGAGCAAAGGACGGCCAGTTTTAAACCCTGACCAGTTAAGCAAACGAATCTGCTTGAAAGAGATAGATCTCAGTTAACAGAAAAGGAATTTTCAGTGGAGAATCCTCCCCATCGTGTCCTAGGTTGTGAGGGAATGGGGAAGAGGGTTTTACTCTGTATTCAATCTGTCTTCTTTCCTAGCAACAGAACATCTGATGTTTAGCAGGGCATCCGGGAGAAAGACTATATACCCAAGCCTGTCTTCTGTGTAGCGTGGTAAGGGCATTTCACTAAGCTCTGACCAATGGTCTAGAAGGATGAGTGAGACTGCTGGTTACTGGTGATATACTAAACCATGGGACCACATTCAGTTTCTTCTTCCTGCTAGCTAACTGGGCTGCAGACATCAGAGCTGCAGTTCAAATAAGTTCTTATTTAAGGATTTTCTGTCACATGGAGCTGAATCTCACCCTAACTGCCGAAGTGACACATTTGGAATTTGCTCTAAGCACCACATGGTTCTGACTGATACCAAACTGGCCTCTCCTAATGCAACGATTCACTGCCGCTGCTTCAAATGAACACACAGGCACATCAAAATCCCCCTTGACCCACTCCATTACCCGAGGTTGCCCCCTGGCCCTTGTGCCAGCAGGATTGGAGCCCGCTGTGCATATGTTGTCATGGAAAATGCTGGGGATTGCATTTTCTAGCGCTGGGGAGATGCACAAGCAATTCTGGGCTGGTTTTGTGGAGTCAGGTCTTGTGGTAGCTGAATCGAAGGCACACAGTTGCTAGTCTGGAAAGGAAGAATCAATACTCGAGCCGACACTGGGTGGAAAACAGTGGGGAGGAGAAGCAGAAATACAGACTGAAGAAAGATGCAATGGATCACCAGGAAATGAAGACTCCTTACAAGCGAACGCAGGGGCCTCCAGGTTCGCGTTCCTGTTGCATCCTTTCGAGACCGTGGGTTTTCTTATAACCTGGGTCTTTAATGGGAAGACTCTGGCACTTTTAATTCTGTTACCCATGCTGCGTGTAACTGCAAAATAATCAAAGCAAATTTGGAAACACCACGACGTATGTGGAGCCAAAGAGAGCAAAGGGATGGGACTGAGTGGTCACTGCCACAATGCTGGCCTTCCCGTGGTGGTGGGGAAATGCGCTGGTGGATGCCCCAATTTATTCATGACTGATAGCTTATATTTCTCACTGCAGCCACTCATCGTCAGGACTATTCCCTCTGGACAGAGAATTACTGAATTTAAACAAACACTTATTGGGCACCTATAATTGGTCAAACTAACAAGCATTTAGGTTGATTTAGACTATTGCTTCCCCCTAATTAGCATTCCGA